AGGTTCAGCATTAGATTCCTTTTCATATACAATTATGTTTCAGAATTCTTTGAGATTATTATGAACTTATAATATTTGGCAAAAAAAGCTAAAAAGAAGTCCTGAGTCATTTATGTATAGAATCACATTTTCTCTTAGGCAGTCCAGGAATTCGGCATATGACATTCAAACCTTGGGTATCTGAATGACATTTCAAAGATATCTTCTTTCTCCTTTAACAAGACGAGCTTGTACTCTCCAAGCATCCTAAGAAGAGGAGGAAATGTTAATATATATAAATAATCAGCAACTCAGTGTCTTTCTCTCTTTTTCTCTCTGTATATATAAATTATATTATTAAATGTGTTTTACTGGAGTTTGTGTGCATAACAATGAATAAGTGGTATTATTTGTGTAAAAGAATATGTGTAACCAGTCAGATTGTGTGGAGTGTCAGAGGGTTAATTGTCAGATATAAGAAAAAAATGTCTGTCGGTATGAGGTCTGTCTTGATTAGTTAAGTTTTTCAGTTAGGACTGTCTGCTGCTAGGTTCTCTGCTGTTTAGCTACGCTGTCTATTTAACAAAGAGCTTCATGGAAGAGATAACTGAGGCTGAATAACAGGATTTCCTGCTTTCTACACCATTCATAGTGATATTCCAAAGCTGTTTAAAATCTAAAACTTCTGTGAATTCTGTATACAAATCCCATATCCTTCACTCAGCCCCAACTGTATCTTCTTCCCTCTGTCTAACTTTGCTAATCAATATTGAACTTGTAGATTTCAAATGTTGAAAGTTCCTTTTAAAAATATTTGATTCTTAGAATGTTGAATTCACCAATTTGTCCAAGGTGTGAAGAAGAAAAGGTTATCAAGAATTAAACACTCCCTTGGCAATATTGTATTACATTGTGCCTCACTCTAAGCCAGGGGTTACATGTATGGTACTGAACATATAAAAAGGCATAGAAATTCCGAGAATCTGAGCTTCCACTAGAGAAAGATTAGTTACTAGCCCAGATCCCTGGAGGATCATTTGGAGTCTGAGATGGAAAATGGGGCAGAATGGCCACTGAAATCTCTGAAGCCAGAAAGACATTTTCAGAATGAAGTGGTTGCACTTTAATAACCTTCATTGTTTTCTTCACAGCTAGAAGAATGATCAGACACATAATTTGCACATTCAGACACTGCACAGCATTAAGCTTTTCTTAGCGAAAAAATCAGATCACCTAGTCACAGTAAGTTAATTATTACTGATTTTTCTAGTCATTATTTTACACAGCCCTGAAGTCAACAAGAACCCTTCAGCATATCAAACTAGGTATGTCTTAGTTTTGGACTGTACCATGGGAGTAATTACTGAACACACCCAGCTCTCAGAGGACACAATATGTGTTATCTGATAATTATTATACAAGGTTATGCAAAAAATCTTCAAAATCTTTAAGTATATTGCTAGGAACAAAAATACTACACCAAAGACCACAGAACTTCTCAGTGTTGGATCCAACATGAAGGGATATGTAAAAACACTCAAAATACTATGTTACAGAAAATAATTAAGGCTCGGTGTGCAACATCCTGGAACGTGTCCTGACTGTGCTATTTCTAGAACATCAGTGCAAGACAAAGGCATATAATAGCAAGTGCTTTGGATCCAAAACATTACAAAACAAACACCAAACCACCTACCTTCAGGGCCATAGACGAATCTATACCATACTTTTTTTTTGCAATCTCTACAACTTCTTTCTCAATGTTCTCTTGAGAAGTACCTTTCACATCAATATAGTAGCAATCACTACTAGCATAATGACAAGAGATTGCCTGCATTAAAAAAAATGAAAAATACATTAAACCTGAAGCTGTGGCATTTGCTTTTTTGTAAGAATGTGCAAGGTGAACGTATTTAGGGGGAAACTCTAAACATTTCCCAAACACATAATTTAAAAAGTCCCTACAGCTGTTTGCAGTGAGGATGTATGTTTCTTTGCACGTTACTTTGAAAATACAAATGAAGCTCGTGTCATTTTTATTCCACCTTTGGTGTTTCATTGTAAATGAAGGAGAAGAAACCCTTTCTTCTACTATGTATAGCATTCTCTCAGGGGGTTTTAAAATTATCATAGTTATTTTGCAGTGGGGGCTGCATACCCTTTCTTCTCCCTCCCTCTTCCTCACCACTGAGCAGACCACTGGGGGCAAGACAGGGTGCTGCCAGAAAAGCCTAAACTAATTACTTGTAGAGAGCTCCTGAAATCAGTCTGAGAGCTGCATAAGAGCAGACAAAGGGACACAGGCTGCTCAGCCCTGCTGATGTATTGAACAACAAGCTCCTATCTTATTCCTCTTTTCACTGCTGTATTACTGGAAAATTCAGTGATTAAGATTGAAGTCAAAGCCTTACCGGGTCAAAAATTGGAGACTCTTGAAACATCTACTCACTTATTTTACTGTTACAAAGTACTTCAAGGGGCAATCGCTATCATGCTTTCCGCCACTGGCAGGTGCCATGTTTTCCTACAAAAATTAAAATGACAGAAAGCCATGTATTCACAAAGGTTTCACTGCTGGGATCTAATGGTTGTTGTGGGTTTTTCTGGCTCTTTGGCCGTGTTCCTAATGTTTCACCAGTCTCTGTGGCCGGCATCTTCAGAGGACAGGAGTCAGAACTCTGTGCTCTGGTGCACTTTGTTTGGATAGCTGAGTATTAAGCACAGAGTGCTGTCCTCTGAAGATTCCGGCCACAGAGACTAGCAAAACGTTAGGAAGAACAACATGGCCAAAGAGCCCAAAAAACCCACAAGAAGCGGACAGTACACTCACCGATCCGCAGCAGTGGATCAGTGAGTGGACCGTCCGGCACCATGAAGCCGGACCCTCATCATCTCCACCTGTGCGGGGGTATTCATATACAAATGCCCCCATCTCTAGTCAAGAATCTTTGTACTTTGATGTCATGGTCGACTCGTGCACAACTCCCTCCTCAGGGCATACTGCTGCACCTACCCACCTAGTAAAATGTATTATTAAACCAACAGCAACATTTATGGATCTTTTCATACAGTGACAATGAAATAGTCCCAACACACAAGTACACATAGCTGACACATCCAGATTATATTTACACTGATGAGAGGTTGCATGCTTTGGATGGTGAACTTTCCAGTGCTCCTTTTTGTACTCTAGATTTAAACTGAAAATATGTAACTAGCTTTCACCTTTCAAAACTTTTTAAACAAGAGGATTAAAAAGTGAGATCAGTTATTAATTGAAAAGATGGGAGAGTCTTGACTTATGAAACATATTTTTCCAAAGGAAATGCCCCAGGTGTTTGCAGCCTGTAATTTGAACAAGCACCTTACCTTCCGAAACCCTTCAGTCTTGTTCATTCCAGAGCCATGGATTAGCAAAGGGTGGAAAAATACTGTGTCTCCTTTCTCCATAGCAAGATGAACCCTTGGAATACTTCTGTTATAATCACGCACTCCATGATACAGCTTGTTTACACCACCCTGGAAAATCAACATAAAAATTACCTTGGTCATAGAAATAGGAATACACCCACTTTGGAACTGAGTCACAAAGTTCAATTCAAAGTTACTGGGGAGAA